TGCTTAACAATGCAATCAACAACGATGTAAACAAGAATTGCATTTTTTAAGAGAAATTAATTGATCTTAAGAAGACAATGGAAGGAAACAAAGTTTTAAGATAACCACCTGTTATTGGAAATACTGTTGAAATCATTTATCATGATGAAATTATCAGAATATAGCTCCTATAGGTTATTGTCAAATTTTCTAGGGAAGCCTGTAGTTGGAACTTGGAAGAGCCATCCACTGCTTGAGAAGCACTTTTATGTTTCTCTAAAAGAATGGATAAAAGATTATTCTAGCAGAAATGATTCAAAATCTAACAATAGAGGCTATCATAGGAAAGAACCATAATGTTTAAGAAAGCTATTACTCCTAATAAGGTGGTTCCGTGGTTGAAGTATGCACCCCAACTCCATACATAGAATCAAATATACCCTTTGGATTTTAGTTATTTCAAGAACTCTTGGGGATTGGCTAGCCCCTTGTGGGAGGTTTCAATTAGTTTCCCTCCAAGAAACCAGGGCTTCACTGGTGGTCAAAGTAATTGTGCTTCAACTCTAAGTTTCATAGCAGAGGTTAGAATTTTTTTCCACTGCAGCAAGCCCTTATAACTAGAGACCAAAAACTCTATGCAAGAGAAAACTTGTGGCATGCAAGAGGCTCATCATGTTTTCACTGTGTACAAAAACCATAATGGTTCATAAAAGAATAAACCTTTATCATATTTCTGCTAAGGTGAACCACCAATTGGTGGAGTAACAAGCTGTAGAATATAAGCAAAGGAGAGATGATGCTTTGATTTTGTGCAAGGACCCCTTGTAATGTGATATTGATTGATGAAGGGGAACCCAAGAATCCTAGGGGAGATAATGAAGCATCTGTGCTGGTTTTGACACACACAGAACAGATCAATTGCGTGGGGTACATAATCTTCCACCATAAAAGGAAAATCACAAGAGGCATATGTAATCAGTTTATTTATGTAGATTATGTTAACATTTACTTGTTATAATAGACATAGCGAGGAGAATAAAGAAATTGCATAGAGCTTAATAAAAATATTCATAAGATGAAGAAAAAGCAGATGATGATGACCTGTAAGTATTGCATACCACAGATACGGTTGATCAAAAGTATTAGTCCTTTCCCTCAGTGATGCTTTTCAAGACACTTGTTCACTGAGGCATTGACATCTTCCCTTGGAAGAAATTTCCAGCATTGAAATGAAAGATGGATCGGCATCTGAGAATGCAACAATTACATCACCATTTTTGCCCTGTTTCCAGATCATAGACCAAAGGTTCAAAAGAGAAATGTTTATCAAACTGTTACTTATGCCTTTGGGGTTCAGAAAGGAACAAAGGACTCAACAAGGATAAAAGGCATCGAGTTATTAGTCATTGATTAATTGCTACTTACATACAATTCATATATCTATGCTATCTTCTACAGTAATATTGTGCAAGGTATAGCCTCTAGTTTTACTTTGTCAGCTTTGTTCTTGCAACTGTAATTTAATACTCATCAAATTATCAATTCCTTATTAACTAATAAGAAGTGTTTGACAAAGGAGAATGATTGGTCACCTATAATTTCTCAAGTAACCTAGTTACTGTTCCTCAATTTGAAGCTAGACCTTTCACTAAAGTCATCATAGTACTGCATGATTCCTTTCCATACACTAAGCCAACGAGAGGTAACCAAGTCTCACCCATTACTGCAATCATTGTACTTTGTGATGAATGACTCTTCTTGACATGTGCCTACTACTCAGCTTAAACAATAAAATGGCCTTTATACGCTGAAGCATTTACTTTTATAATATGAGAGAACAAATTTATATAAGAAAGTACTTTTTGCATACGAGAGGCAAAAAACTTTTGAGCACACAATACCCACTGACAGAAAAACAATAGACATGCCATAAACAAGTAATCTTCAATACCCACTGAAGCAAAGGACTAAATAAGAAAGTTAACACCCTCCATATACTCTCACAGTTATATTTTTACAAAATTTTCTAGTACTAAACTGTTCATAGTCATTAATAAAAGGGATAGGCAACCTTGGTAATCATACATGCATATGCATGGGGGGCAATAGTACCTAAATTGTACTTTGCAAATTGTATGCGTGCACTGCCAAAACTGGAGTCAGCTGAGATCTTTTATTTTTTTTTTCCTAATGTGATTGTTTATTTTCTATCCATCATCAATTATGAGGATAGCTTGATGGGCAGCAGGTAATTTTTTATCTAATATGTTCTAGAAATGCACAAAATAATTCACAGGTCCAAATTGGTCATAACTGGTGCTACATAGGGCCAATAGGAAAGAAACCAGGGAGCTCTCTAAGCCCCTTGAAGGCTGCTTTAGAAAACAAAACAAAATTGCATGCAGGTATCTAGCAATAAATGTTAGGGTTGGAAAGGTACCTAAATTGAAGAATTTATACAGCATCAGGCCTGGGCCCTTTGGCTGAATCTGAAAGCCTTCCAATGTTAACAACTACTCAAAGCAGGCCTGCCCAATAATCACTGCACACCAAAATTTTGCACTTATTTCTTTCCAAAGATTGTACTATTTTACAAATTTGTACCGTTCAGTGTATTCCTTTGATGATGTTGTTCCCTTCACCCCAATAGCCTTGGGATTAATTTCTCAAGTCTGCTCTTTTAAACACTGTCAGGACTAGATTTCTTTTGCCCTGCTCACAGTGCAATTTTGGACTCAATTTCTCAAGAATATTCACTTTCCAGATTCTTCTTAGAATATTGTACTTTAAAGTAATTAAATTGGACAAATCTGTACAATGATCTTTACAAAGCAACTTGCTGGGAATCCAAGAGTTGGATTAGTCAACATTTGCAGAAAATCCGGATTATAATTAGGGAGGGTTTCATTATCTTCAAGAAGTATTATCCCACCTACCAATATTGATTCTTAAAATTAATGAAAAAAATACTTAAAAGAGCAAATTACTTCCCATTTCGATTAGGAACAACTTGTTCTGTTACTGTGAAAAGATATTGAACTTATATGTCAACTTCTTTTTCTTGCTTGGTGTGATGGTAAAATCATGGGTCAGCATGAGAATACGAGTCTAAGAGTAGCCACTTCATACTAAGATGCCAGACATTAGGTCCATACCCAGTCAATCCCTCCCAAGACCCCAGATAGGCAGGACCAGCATTAGGTAAAGGCCTTTTTCATTCTTTCTTTCATTTCTTTTATTCATCTTGATATGTTCGTGTGTGTGTGTGTATGTGTTTCAGTGTCTACAATAATATGCTGCACCTGCATATACAAGTAAGACATCTTGTTTGTATATCTTCATTTGTTTGGCAGCATTATATGTAAAGCTTGAATGTATTCAGGCTTTAAACACAGCCCCTAGATTTTGTAAATTCATAAACTATAGTATATGATAGTAAAAGGTTACTGTAGAGAGCATCACCAAACAGATTGCTCTAGTGATTTTCACAGTGGAGATCACTAACACTAAAAATAAAATTGAAAGCAGCTGGTGCAAGTTTTTGGGTTAAAAAAAGTGATCTCACTTGCTGGGCGGATGCCTTATAAAGTAGGGCAATCATAACTCAAAACAAAAGTAGAAGAGTACCCCCATGGCTCAAAACAAAAGTACAATAGTACCCTGTAAAAAAATCAGTAAAATAACTCAGTTTTATCAAACTAATAACCTGTAATAACTAATTCAAAGACTCTCTAGCAGAAATAAATCAACTATAAATCTAAGAAAAATAGAGATGGCAATGGGGTGGGTTCTGGAAGGGTTATGTAAATTCTAGAGCCTACCCGCCTCCCTAACCCTCCCAACCCGTACCTGCCCTAAAACCCGTAGTGGGTTGGATTTTGAAGATCCAAACCCCTCCCCACACATGAAAATGCAAAACACTCCCCAACCCTACTCTCCCCACAATCAAGGCTAGGGCGGGGTGGGTTTAGAACCCACACCTAATTTCCTATTATTTCTTGTTATATATAAATAATACATAAGTAAAAAAACATAAATAAACAGCAAAATTTCCAATTATTTGACTATGACATGTAAAAAACACATAAACTATCAATTATCTTTCACATAAAATTCAAAATATCATTAAATTCAACACCTAATACATAAAACTATATGCTTTCCAACAATATGCAGATCAGGGAGGGTGGGGTTTAACCTAATACTGTACCTGTACAGGTTGTAGAATCCCAAAACCCATCCCCACCCCAAAATCCGTCCTTCAAGAAAAAAAAAAAAACTGCCCGATCGGTCAGGGTAGAAATTAACATCCCTAAAGAAAAGTATCTAGAAACAAATCAAGAATCATTAAACAGAAGCAACTAACAGAATCTAGGGACAAAACTGCTTTCTTTTCTTTTTCTTTCCTTTACATAAAAGGTTGACAGAATTTCTGCTTCATGATCAGAGAATCAATGATTAATTAGAAAATAAAACGCCATTTGGAATTTATTGTTTACAGATAAAGAGCAACCTTCTGGTACTAATTCCAGGGAATGTACCTCTTATTCTCATTCTCTCAATCAACACACCAACATCTTGGAAATGGGAAAGGAAACTTGACTTTTTTTGCAGACAAGGAAGCCTGACTTAGGCACTGAAGATAAATAGCATGCCACCACCCATTTTGTCCTAGGATACATGTGCCCTGCAGCATACTTCAAGAACCAGTGTATGCCAGCAGAAAGCTCTGCCGAGATCACTCCCCCAACTCTAATTAGAAGATCAACGCAGTACATGAATAGGATTGTGTTGATAAAACAAATGGATAAAATTCTATAGATAAACACTGTAGCAAAATTTTGGCAAAAAAAAATGCTTGCAATAGGATATATTAATCACAAGAAGTTTCAACTCTCAAGTATGTTAGCATGAATTATGTTTATTTTCTAAAGGAAAAAAAAAAACAGAACACATGGGTAAATTATCCGTAATGATGAGCATAGAGAATGACATTTACCAAAAGAAGGCCGCTGGAGTTGGTTTCAGCGTAAGCCATTCTTATCATATAGTCCGAAAGACGTCGATGGACACAGTCAGCCCTCTTCTCCTTCGTTTGACCATGTATGAAGTATGAACCTGTCTAAAATAATCCTTGGTTCCTTCTCCCACCTTTTTTCTTATTGTAGAACTTCAACCTTATTACCTGAGCGGATGTTGTTTAGTTCCACAAGAAACGTTAAAGGAATATGGATGCCCTGGCAACTCAAAATTCTTTTATTAAAATTTAAAACCTTGTTTTTACAAAGACAAACATAAACCCTAACGTAAACCCCAGTTGAAAATACCTTTTCCATAGTAGATATCAACATCAAAAAAGAAAAACCCAAATGATTGACTATTTGACTCAGACGTCTCAACCGCTCTAAGTTGCCGGCTACGTCTCCAATTTCCCATAGTTCATACTTAGGCCGGCGGCTTCTACGAAAGCGGTTATTATTTCGTTAAAATCAAACTCCCTTCCTTCTTATTAGTAATTTGACATTCATACAAACATTGCCTTCTCTTTCTATCCTTCCCCCGATTCATTCAACTCCCACCCACCCCGAAGTCCAAAACAAGAACGACATTGGAAAGGCTACATAGAAGGAGGAAAATGAAACACACGGAATGTCATCTCTTCGCAGCAGCGATTCTTCTGTCTCTGTTATCGACGTCCGTCTCCGGCTTCCCGTTCTTCTTCCCTAACGCCTCCTCCGTACCGCCGTGGTTTACTCCGAACACCACACCCCCAGCATGGCAGTCCTTCCATAAATTCGCCGGATGTCGCAACGGAGAACAAGTCGACGGCTTGGGCAAACTGAAGGAGTACTTCCATCATTTCGGTTACATCCCCGACTCACCCTCCAACTTCACCGACGACTTCGACGACACCATGGAATCCGCCCTCAAAAAATATCAACAGAATTTCAATCTTAATGCCACGGGAGTCCTCGATAATAGTACGATACAGCAGCTAATCCGACCCAGATGCGGTGTCGCAGACATAATCAACGGCACAAATACGATGAGCTCGGGGAAGTCGGCCGCCTCCACTCATAGCTTGCACACCGTTGGCCACTACACATTCTTCCCTCACCAGCCCACTTGGCCCTCTTCAAGGCTCGACCTCACATATGGTTTCTTACCTGATAACCAGTTATCAGATACTGTTAAAGCTGTGTTTGCCAAGGCATTCGCCCGGTGGGCCGCTGTGACACCGTTAACCTTCACGATGACCGATAGTTACTCGATGGCAGATATAAAAATCGCATTCTATACAGGGGATCACAGCGACGGCGAGCCTTTTGACGGGGTCCTAGGAACGTTGGCTCATGCGTTTTCGCCAACAGACGGACGGTTCCATTTAGACGGAGCTGAGAATTGGGTAGTGGATGACGCCAGTAAGTCATCCATATCATCGGCGGTGGACCTAGAATCGGTTGCTGTGCACGAGATAGGGCACCTGCTGGGACTGGGACACTCTTCCTACGGAGATGCAATCATGTACCCGACGATCTCATCGGGGACGAAGAAGGTCGAGCTCTGGAGCGATGATATTGAGGGAATCCAGCTGCTGTACGGGACGAATCCCAACACCAACATTACTTCATCAACGGCGTCCAGTCGGGAAACGGGGTCGGGGTCCAGCAATGGTGGGGTCCATGGAGTGGGCCGCTGTTGGGGCCTCGTGATTATCATGGCCCTATTTTCTCTTCTGTTGACATTGTAAATACTAAATACAGTATTATTTTTTTTATTATTTATTTGTATTTTACATTTTGTTCATCTGATATACTGATCTACTACATATATTAGGATGCCATTAGATTTCGTTGTATTTTATATATTGATTTTTTTATGTACATTACATATGCCTTTCTATTTGTGGTGGTCTTTTTCTTCTTCTTTCTTCTTGAAGCTCGTATTCTAAATATGCCACTTGTCAAGTTCGGGCCCAACCAAGTCCAAGGTCCAAGAGTAATCCAAAATTGTTGAGTGATAAATTGATAGCAGAAGTAGTTTCAAAAGGGCTATTTGGATCCCGATCTTTCATGCCAACAATTTTATATGCCACGTGGCCAGTTTATTGGCCATGTTGGACAATTGATAATACATATATTTTGGACGCTTTCATTTTCATTTGACTAAAAGGAGGCAGATGCTTTAGTGGACATGGATTTGGAAAAAAATATTATCTCAACATATAAGAGAATAAGAGACCAGATCATTTTCTTCATAACACGTGGCTAGCCTCTCACTCATAAAACGTAAATGACTATATGTTCTTCAAAGACGTATTAATATTAAACACGTGGCTAGCCTCTCACTCATAAAACGTAAATGACCGTCTGTTCTTGAAAGAAGTACTAAAAAAATGTCCTCAAAGACGTGTAGTAGTTACCAAATTAATTTATTTCCATGATCCAACAGAAAAAAAAAAAAAAAACAAGTTTTCTACAGTGAATGGACAAAAACTTAAATAAATGAAGATATATATGGATAAGAGAGATCAGAGATGGAGAAGAATTTATTAAGGTGCTTGGTTTTGCTGATGTAAGAGTAAGACTTATTTTTGCTTTTAAAATTAAACAAAACCATGCATATGAAGACCCCCTAAAACGATAATATCCTCTTGTCACAAAGAGAGCCCAAACAAAATAACCATCAACAAAATTATAAAATTTTCAGTTGGGGAATAGAGTATGTTTGATTTACGATTAAATAATCAATTTTATTTTAAAAGAATGAGACCTAACACCAATACAATGCGTTGAATTAAAGCCATTGCAGTATTTTTTTCTAACTTATTTATATTTATTTGAATCAGCCAATTAGGAGAAGGCTAGTATCCGTTTTGTATAGTATTTGTAAATTGTAATTAAGTCGAGTCGATTCAAGTTGAATTTTGAGTGGCTTGAGCTTAAGCTTGATTCAAAAACTTAGACCTCAAAACTCGGCTCGATACTCATCATGAGCTATTTGAGCTCAACTCGCCTCGAGCCAATTATAAATAAATTTATATTAATTTAAAATATTATAAATAAAAATATATTAAAAGTTTTGATTATAAATATATTTATTTATATTATAAATAATAATATATTAAATCTCTACCCAACGAAACAACCATAAATTTTCCTTTGACCACCTATTATTCATACAATGATTCTTAAGGCTATGTTGGATTTGAAGGAAAAGATAGAAAAAGTATGAAAAAGACAGAAAATTTATACAAGGTTTATAAAGGTTTTCTTACCTTTTCTAAATATTGAGTTATTAAAATGACAGTGTAATATAACAAAACTATAGGTAAAATGTTTATATTTAAAATTGACTTTTAGAAAGGAAGATTAGCCAAAGGTACCTATCTGTTCTAAAGATTTTTAGGCTCAATCTGGGAAGAGTATAAATACAAATATGGGCAGTCCATAAACATGTTTAACAATACAAAATACAAGATTTTGCACTTCACATATTTATATTTGCAGTTTAGGCTCCATTTGGAAGGATTACAAATACAATATGTAGAGTGCAAAACCTTTTATTTTGTATGAAATTATACTGTGCATATTTGTATTTGTACAACTTAGTTTGGAAAAAGTACAAATACAAATATGCACAGTACAATTACATACAAAATAACACAAAATACAAGGTTTTGCACTCTCAAATTTGTATTTGTACTCCTTTCAAATTGAACCTTAGGCTGCGTTTGATTGCAATGCAAATGCAAATATGTACACTACATATTTATCCATTTTTCGGTTCATGAATGAAAATATGGTTCACATTTTAAACCGTTTTTGCATTCACCCTGTTTGTTTGAAATCAGTGCAAAGGTGTGGGCCCATCATTAACTGCTCCAACTATCTTATGCTCCAATGCCTCAACTTTGGCCAAAATGTTAATTATCAAATGAATACAAATTTGTATCCAAAAATTTGGTACAGTAATGCTTTCTTTTTAGAGTACAAAAGTGTCAGAAAATGCAATTTTACTTTGATAATCATTACTTTTTTACGTTTTAAATAAACACGAACCGGAGTGCTTAAATACCCCGGTTCGGCATTTGTATCTCAAACAAACGCAACCTTAGGCTTAATTTGGAAGAAATATGAATACAAACATGTAGAGTGCAAAACCTTGTATTTTGTATGTAGTTGTACTATACATATTTGTATTTGTATTTTTCCAAACTGAGCCTTAGAAATTTCTTATACAAAGGTTTTGCATTAAACATATTTGTATTTTCCATGGTTTTTAAAAACGAACCGGTCAAGGGTCCGGTTACTAGTTCGAACGGTCCGATCGTTTGACCTGAATGGTCGGCCCATTCTAACAAAAAAAATTAAAAAATTAGAAAACTGTCAAAACCGTTTGAATGATTAACCAACTGGTTCAACGATTTGCTGATCAAAACCAACAGTTTTGGGGGAAAAACGGTTTTAGGAGAAAACAGGTGACCAATTCCCGATTTTTCCGATCCGACCGTCCGGCCCTGTCCGGTTTTGAAAACTATGGTATTTGCACTCTTCCAAACTAAGCCTTGAAGTTGGGAAAGACACAAAAGCTGACTATTAGTATTTGGTAAAGATATCCCATCTTTATCTTTTATCTTTGAGTATTTGAGTTTGAAGTTTATGACCCATTTTTCAAACTTAATTTCAAGCTTTCATTCACAAAAGAAGGGATGACCTTCTAGAAATAAACATTACATATTTACATTTTCCGAAGAGAAAAGCCATCAAAAGGGTTTGAAACAGGATCCAGTATGGGGACAATTTGTTGGCACCTGTAGGGCGGTACTATTGGTTATGTAGCCCATAACACAGCCTTCAAGTGCAACCAATTTGGACCCAATTCATTCATTCAAGGCTCAAACAATTAGGCATATTTTAATAATTTATTAACGAAAGAAAACAAATAATTAAATAAATTTGTTGTAATATCAGAAAAAACGCCACCAAGTTTTTCAAGCCATATTTGGTCAATAATAACAACATGATGGCTGTTCTTGAATTGGCGGTAAAACACGCAACCGATCTAATAATGCTAACAAACCAAACATAAATAGTAGGATAAGACATAAACGTGGGGAATCATACAAATTCATGAAGATATTTTAATAGAAAATTGAAAAATTATGTACAATTAACTCCAAATTTCATGTGCATTAAGCCTTTTCTTTCCACAAGGTGATGATGCTAGTATTCAGTCATCATTTTTTTTTTTTTTTTTATCCAAGAAGTGATGGAAAAGAAATACTTCTGCCATGTAATCTGGGTTCCATCGGGATGGGCCCTACCAGTATTTGGATCTATAACCCATAACAACCTAATGGCAAGCCAACTCCGATCAACATTATTTGGGATGACTCCCCAGTCTCTATCATCTAAGTTCCACATATTAAAATGCTTCTCACAGAGAAAGGATTAGTTGAATTAAATATATTTTTTTCTTTATATGCGCTGTGAGACCAATCATTTTATTCCACATCAGCCATAAATGCAAGTGATAGATTGAGTTAGCGATCGTGGGCCATATGTATTTTATGGCCGATATAGGACATAATGATTGGTCCTACGGCCCATAAAACAGACAAGCCCGAATTGGTCCTACGGCCCATAATGATTCCACATCTGGTGACTGCGGGATTGAATCCTAGGTCTCGACTACAACTAGAAAACTTACCGAATTTGGGTTAAGAAATGCCAACCCAATATAAATTTTAATTGGTTGGGATTGATGTCTTAGACAATTTGACCTAATCCAATCATGACGCATTATACTTGGAATTATATATCTTGTACATTTTATATCATACATGATTAAAAGTGAAAGAGAGGATGAGGAAAGATGGTTTATTGTAGAACATTAGATGTTTATATATCATTTTTATATGTAATATGTGTTTCTCATGTATATTATATAGTTATGAATGTTTAATGTTTTGATAGATTTGGTAGGTAGGGTTCCAATCCAAACCAAGTACCCATCCTCTTCAACCAAGTCACCAGACTGGATTAAATTAGGGTTAGGATCGAGGTTTTAAGACACTGAGGTGGGTTAAGGTTGACCTCAACCAGCCAACTTGGCCCAAGTTGCAACCCCACTTCCATTGGACATCTTAATGGTGTTTATGTGCTTTAAGTTTGGAAAATAAGGATCTGTTTGGTTTAATTTAATTCTCTCTAAAGAATCATAATTTCAACTGTCAAAAAATGGTTAATTTTTCTACGCTAAAATTTTCAGCTCCAAGTAATTTTCATATATCCAAATTTAAAAATGATTCTTAATTGGATGCATGACATACACATCTTAATTAGAGAATCTTCATTGGATGCTCTTAAATTTATGATTACCTGGTTTTTTTGATAATCGATTACCTGGCAAATTGAAACCTTCCATATTGATTTTTTTTTATTTCCATTTTTTTTCAAGGCATATTTCATATTGAAGTTGATATTTTAACGGGAAAGTATAGACAAGCCTAATGCAGATTTCTGATTCTCATTATAAAGTTATAAATATTCAAAAGTTTCAAAAACCACACTCTATGCACCTATACCCGTCCGTGAATTGGCATTAATTCCGAGCTGGCACTTACCCCAAATGTACTTTGAGCCTACAAATTCTGACCCTGGGGTTATTGGTCATTCTCCCATATTTTAAATAGGCCAAAATTCTTATGAACACGTGCTAAAGATTTCTGATCCTTCCCCATATATCACATCAGCGTCCCACACAGAGTGTTCCACGTGTACATCTCAATGTGCATTTGAAACATCTCTAGTATTTGTCATTGAGAGATGGTCTTAATAAACGGTTGGGATGTGCTGTGAGATACTGTAAGGTGCCAATGTGAACTCATTTATCCATGTTTGGCCAAACGTCCCAATCCACCTCGTGCCTATTCCTTTAAAGATATTCTTAATACACTGTGGGATGTGATTACGAAGTTGGTGTGAAAAACGCTTTGTGAAGAATAGATTCCAATTCATTCCCAATTTTCGAGAACGGGATCTGGTCCTCACACAGGGGCGCCTTCAGGCACATCCACTGTGCATTAGAAATATCTCACGGGAATAATAACTTATAAGTATGAAAAATGTTTCCAATACTAGGATATGCGTGTGAGGTCGGTTTGAGGCGCCCTGTGTGAGGAGAGCAGATCCGGACGTTTTCGGAATTGGCATTTTAATGGACCCGCTTCTGTTTTGTGATAAGCCCACGGCTCGACCACATAGGGGGTGTCTGTGGCTCTGCTCTCTTCCAAAGACCGAAGTCCGAATCCTAACTCCCTACTCAGTTGTTCTCAGTTCTCACTTGTTTACTTTTTCTGAAGGCTCAGTTTGTGTTTTGTATTATTTTATATATTTATACTATACATATTTCATATTTGACCAAACTGAGCCTTAAGAAAGTAAAGAAGTGAGAACAACTGAACAAGAATCGAGAATCAAGATCCCTCAATCCCCGGCGAAGGCCGGATTCGATCCCAAGTTTCTCATATGAAACTAGCTGGCAACTTTCGAGCTGGACCCATCACCCACTTATGGCTCATGATAGGAAGTTAGGAACGTGTGCAAATGTGAACTCGACTTAAAAGGGCTGTTCAATCGTTCCCATCCATCCCTCCATTCTCTCAATTCTTCCCAGAGACTTTCCTGCTTCTCTAGATTCGTTGCAGTACGCTTTCCTTCCTTCCTTGTTCAGAGTCGTTGAAGAGAACAGAGTTTCTTTCTTTTCTCAGTAACTTTAGTTTTTTCGTCGATGTTTGATTCTTGGGGTAATTTGAGTTCAGTTCAGCTCAGCTCAGCTCAGAATTGTTCGGGTCAGTGTCAGGGGTGGGCGAAGGATTCCCAGTTCACGGGGGAGGGGGTGGGGTGGTCGTAAATACATTGGGGAAACTAATAACACAATTCTGGGGTGGACTGAACTCTAAAAAGGCCTTGATTGTTTTTTCTCCAACCAGATATGTTCTTACATGTGAATTTCCATGTTTCTTCTCAGGTTTTGGGCATATAACAAAAGGGAAACTTCTTTCTTTTTTTTATTCTCTTGTCAAGGGTCAAGACTTCCAACACCAAAGGGTTCATGTCTGATCTTGACGTCCAGATTCCTACTGCTTTCGGTACGTTTGCTTCGTTTTCTATCTCTTTTTTTAGGACGTTAATGATGAAATTGGCCTGAACGTTTTTCCCTAATAACCAGAAATAATGAAAGATACATTTACGTTCCTTTGGGATTCTGTGTTCACTTGCTGTGGGCAGATCCTTTTGCTGAGGCAAATGCTGAGGACTCCGGTGCTGGATCAAAGGAGTATGTGCATGTGCGCATACAGCAACGGAATGGTAGGAAGAGCCTGACGACCGTGCAGGGGTTGACGAAGGAGTTCAGTTATACAAAAATCTTGAAGGATCTAAAGGAGTTATGTTGCAATGGTACTGTTGTCCAGGACCCCGAGCTGGGCCAGGTACACACACCATATCACTATTTTCCTTGGTGTCCCATGTGCTTTGATGTACCTCATATATGTTGTTACTTATTAGACATGAATGTGTGTTTTGATGGTGCAGGTTGTTCAGCTACAGGGCGATCAGCGGAAGAATGTGTCCACTTTCCTTGTTCAGGTACAGAATTTTCTAATCTTGGTGGTTAACTGGTTTCATCTTTCATGTTCTGTTTAGGTATAGCTTTTTAGTTATGCATTTTTCCATTTTTTCAGGCTGGCATTGTGAAGAAGGAACACATTAAAATTCATGGTTTTTGAGGTAATCTCATATTGTATTTGCACGTGGAACAAGAATAATTGATAAGACTCTGGATTTCCAGATATGGTTTATTGGATGAATGTGGAGATCTCGGTTTGTTTATCTATTTTCATGTTTGGTGTCAATGTAAGAGGGTCTATTTTGATGGTTTGTTTTCTGGTGGAGATGGATGAAGTCAAACTTTTGTTAAGAAGCGTGGTTGTGATAGCCTCCTTTCTTGATTTCATTATTTTCTTTCTGGTACTTACTACTACTGCTACAACAACAACAACAACTACTACTACTACTACTAAATAGCTTTGCTGATTCTTATACATATCTCTGTCTTACTATCAATGCCTCTAATTCAAGGCTTTGAGTAATGAAGGGCCCTCTTATATTTTATAAAACATGTTATTCAAGCAGCTGTTGTCTGAAAGGGCAATTTAATATCATGTTCATTAAACTGAACTTCTTAGACTTAGTCATGGGATGTTCTAGCCCTTCAGTTTTGATTTACTTGTATCCACAAAAGAGAACTGAAGAGTTGAGTTGCACATTAGTATATGCGAACTTGTGTGTTTTCTCGTCCTGAAGACAAACTAGTTGCTTTGGGGTCTACCTTAACTATGACCTTATATGCCCTTCACTTCTTAGCAATTTGCATTCCATTGCAGAGGTTCCATAGTATGTTTTTCTAATGAGATTCCAACAATGCAAAATAATGTATATGAATTTGTAGATCTTCAGGTCCTGGAGACAAACTAATTGCTCTGAGTTCTACCTAATCAACGACCTTATAGATCCTCGGTTCCTGGAAATTTGCATTCCATTACACAGATTCCATATTATGGTATCTTGAGTAGAACTTATCTTCACATGATGCACTTCTTTCCAACAAAACAGGGGTGTCCTTGTGGGTCTCATAAGTACAAGTAATACCTTATTTGCTTCCTATTTGCTTTTTTTTTGCTGATGTGAGCAATGTGGTGGGAAAAGGTATAATTTGGTAGAACTGTAACAAAGCTCTGATGCTACACTACATCAGTGTTCAGTGTTTCTCTGATAGAACTGGTCCCTGGAGGCATGGTTGAAGTAGGTTTTCCATCAGAGATTTATGCTTAAGATTTAAAAGTCCAAGAAGAATATGGATATGGAGCTTGGAGAGAACAGTGGCAAGGGGTTGCCTGCACTAAAATTTAAGCAACATAGTAAAGGGAATTATAAAAGCTGAATTGGATGGTGGTGTTGCTCCAGAAAAAAGGGTAGACATTTGGTATAGGGAAGTAGTATGGAATGGAGAAGTTTGTATATAGCTTGGTTTTGGGAAAGGGTAAGAGATCTGGTCAAATGGGATATGGCAAAGGATTGGCTAATGCTATTGGCTCCTTGATGTACGAGCTATTGTGCAGGATTTGACCTCATCCCCAATCAGGGTTGACTATCACTGTTGCTCAAGAACCAGGTTCCTTGGAAATTGGAGTTTAGTACAAGGGTGAGAGGATCTTGGTTTAATGAGGGACTATTGGGCATTGGTGGTCTTATTAGAGTTGAGTTGTCTTATGATCAAGTTGAGGTGGTAAATTCCCAATGGATCCAGGCATTATAAGGTGCACATATGATGGTCAGATGGTCCTTGGTGCTTGGTTTACATCAGAGAAGCTAAAGTCTTAGCTCTTCTGGAGTGGACATTTCATTCAAATGGAATCACTATTTTTTATCAGTTCCAAGATCTGCTATTTCAGTGTATGGCAGTCTCACTAGAGACAGAGAGGGGAAGTTGAGCTCTCTCTCTCCATTTCCAAATGGAGGCTAAGAAGATATATGTTTTCTTGGTTGCATCTTCAAGATTTAATGTTTACCAATTAAGTGATGGGAAGAAACTAGAAGCGCGACTGATTACCCAAATCTTATCTGGCTGATAGGAAGGTTGCCAGATTTTACGGTATATGGATAAGAGGATCTAGCATTCATGGTTGCATAATTAGTCCATAAATTTGCAGAAACTGAGAGTGAACTGTATGTCCAATAATGGCATCATATGAACAGAATTTTACTTGGGGGAATAGATTGCATTCCTTTCCAAGGGAAGGCGAAATTAACACAAATTTCACAAACGAATTACTTTCAGATTTTCCTTTTTCAATACTGAAGTAATGTTTCTGTTAGGAGGGTTTAGCTTTTATTGGTTTTACTACATTCTAGATTTTGTTGTAATATGCTTTAGGGGCTGAGTCAATGATAGGGAGATACATTTTAGGGCTCGAGTGAAGTCCATAGGCACTTTTAAAACCTCAGGTGCTTCCTTATGGTTTGATGAATAAGATAATCAATTGGACCCCATCTACCTTGTAAAATGTCATGGCCAATTTGGCATATAAAGCAAAAAAGAACAGCATTTGGCTGAAATATCTTGAAAGGTGGTTCAGAAAATCAGATTAGATACAGTGTTTTCTTTGGATGCAGAAGCATCAGAATTCATTAAGAGGATGCAGAAACATCAGAATTCATTAAGAACAGAAGAAAATTGTTGGGGTCTCTTAAATGCCACTATGGTTTTAATTGATGTATACAGCTTTGAACAGAAGTACGCCATATGATGCATACGGCATACCCATTAAGTACCTGAGATTTTTTTTTTTTTTTCACTTTAATACCTCCTTTTCTCTAAAATACACCACTAGAGAAAAGGAAAGGGGGAAGAAAGAAATTTCTTGCCTACAAGAGTTGGCATATCCATGTCAAGTTGGATAAACATGATACATTACTTTTCACTACCACCACCACCACCACCAAATCAAGGGCATACCAATGAGATGTTCACAAGATATTCCTTTTTACTAAAGAAAATTATACTGAAAAGTTTTATGATAACCATCTAATATGTCATAAATTAAATTGAAGGTATGAAGTTTTAGTTAAGAAAATAAAATAACAACAAAAAAAGTTATGGAGTAGTTACAGCTAACCATCTATGACGAGAATGAGAAAATAACAGGGGCCAAGTAGATATCAAACTTATTTACTCATTTTGGGAAAATGAATGCTTGTTTTGATAAGTTTCCCAAACTAACACCAAAGATTAAAATGAAAACTCAAAAAGTGAATAAGGAAAGAATCAACAAATTTCTGAAAAATATAAATATGAATCTCTATTTCTTTCATTTTCATTCAGGTGTTTGCAGGGGGGAACAGAATGGATCACTATTCTTTTTGGAGTTTCAATTACCTATAGGGTGAAGCTAGTGGAGCCAAGGGCCAGTGACTAGTTTGTATGATTTATCATTACCCTCATCAACTTGGTAGGAGACCTCTATCTATGCAGCATGTCATTACCAATGGGAGAGAGCCCTCAACTGCTTTTTTTTTTTGATAAATAGAACCCTCGACTCCTTTGGTACTGCAACATAGATGTTAAATCGGTCTACTGAAAGTTTTGGAGTAGTTTTACAAACACTACAACCAAGAATGTTTATGAAGAAAACCCAGACAGTACCAATATAAGCCATAAAAATGGAGTAAAGAGATAAACATTTCCAATAATCTGAGGGGCATCCGCAACATCTACAGCTGCTCCCTGGCAATTCTTCTCTAAAAATTTAAAATTCAATGATAAAACCAATCTCCAAAATAAAACTTCCAATATCTTAATAAGTTTGGGACTGAGTCAGGTCTAAATAGCTTCCTATTTGTATTGGCCAAACTAATTATATAGTAGACAAGGAATATCAACCACCAAACGAAATTACAAAGTATTAACCTAAAAAACCTATACATATTTGTCTTAATTTTAGATTGGATTAAGCTGCATCTCATTGATTAAAAAAAAGTTGCATCCTTTTCTATTTCTTCTGAACACCCAATTCTATGCTCACTTTGTTTCTCTATCCTTTTCATTTTAAACAAACAGTTGATTATCTGAGAATTAAAGAAACTAACAACATTGTATCTTTAGCCACTTAAATTGAGATGTATCAAAACAAGCACCAAACTCAGATCAATGAAATGGTTTGTTGTATTCGTTTTATCACACGGAAATCTTTGTATAGATGGGAACTAAGAAAACAAAACTTGGAACTTCAATTGGTTTATACAAAGCAAACTTTTCTAAAGCAGACATGACAAAAATATTTGGAACCTCTCTGCAAATAAATGCAGGTAGGTTACCTCATTTATGAGAATCAATGCTATTGACCCCTGGTTCAGAAACACCAACAAGAGACTTCTGCTTCACCACACTCTCCTTGGTTTCATCACCATTATCATCATCGTCATCAGAATTTAATGTAAACTGCAAGTTCTGTAATTCTGCACCGAGCCGCCTGTAATTCGTGTAATTACTGCCAGTGCCCCCGTACTTCTGGCCGATAACTGAGTATACGCCCACAACCAAAACCACAAGAAAAGCAAGATGGCAGTTGAATTGAATCGTTGCGATTGCTCTACCTCTATGATACTCGGAATGCCCTTTGCACTTCACTGTATAATTCCCTCTGCTCTTTTCATGTAGAGAACACCCGTGAGCAATCAAATTGGTGTAGAAAGAGAAACCCATCTGAACAAACCATGTTCCCTGAAGAATCAAACCAACCCCACGAGATAATCTTGGGAAATTGGATTTGGACGAAACCAATTCGAGAACGGTGGAGAAAATACAAACCGCAATTGGAACAAGCAAAAGATCGAAGTAACGGTTCTCAATTCCAGATGGGTCTTTGCTCTGAAGGTAAAAGAGAAGGAATTCTTGCCCGAACGCGAAAAGAACAATTAAACCGAGGAATGAAGAAGGCAAGGGTATCAAATCGGTGAAACTGACCAACAGACCGGCAACCGAGTAGAGAAGAAACAGAGAAGCAAGTACTGTAATCTCTAATTGGAGAGAGACACCGACTCGATCGTTGGTCCGAAGAGCATCGAATAAGGAGAATAGAGAGTTGAGGAAGAAGAAGAAAGAGAGAACAGAAACAACAATGAAGCTAACAGAGGAGGACGACGGATTCGTTCTTCTTCGGGTTGCTCTTGTTGTTGTTGATGACGCTGCTGCTGCAGGCATGGCTTGGTCCGGAGGAGAAAGAAGAGAGAAGGGGTTTAAGTGTGCATGGAAAGAGACAAGAGCCTCCCAGGCGCCTATAAGCATGAACCCACCTCCTGCTAAGCAGTAGCTGAAGAATCCCATTCTCTGTTTTTGGTCTCTCAATGTATTACGATATCTCAACGGAAGTGATCAGAGGAAGATTTGAAATGGGGGTTTATTCTTCGATGGTCTGCTCCTAGTTCAACCAGTTCACAGCGAACATCGTGGCAGCAGATGTGAACTTCTTGCCAAGAGGCAAGAGCACTTGACGCCAAACTAACTCATTGGCATAAAATAAGAGCTCTCGACTGTCTGATCTGTTTGAGATGGGGTTTGGTGTTGATGTTGATGGGCTCCACTGACAGTACCCGAAGGTGGGTAAAACAAAGGAAGAGTTTCTGCCTTTCAGGCGTTTCAGTGAGTTTGGACCTGCTACCTACAATACAGCTTCCAACATAATCACACTAGTGTTTAATTTGCATCAGCGATCCAAAGAGCATGCTCCACGCGTGCCCCACAACCCATCCCAGTTGTGTATCGGGAATATCTCATATGACAAGTATGAGAGATGTTGTTGATGCACGCTGAGATGTAAATGTGGGATACCTGTCCAGCGCCAATCTAATCTCACAAGTGTGCCAAACCTGGGCAAATAATTAATTGAGTGAACACGCTGAGGGCCCGCATTACTCAATGATTGATTAATTAGCCAGGTTCTCGAATTTGTGTTTGTGGTAGATGTATACACAGCTACACATTAAATATAATTGCCCTCCCAAAAGTATTCAGTACCAAACATGTTTGTGGCATGTAGCTATAAAGAGTCCAATTGCTACGAAAAAGACGCTACCCACCGCCGAATATTCAGCACCAAACATGATTGCTATATCAATCATAGTGTTGGAAGCTATGTGGGTAGTATAGTAGATCAGCAGTACATCATATTGGAAGCTGTGTGCATACCAGATCAGGTCTCATAGAACTTCCTGAGGAACTGACTCATCATCTATTTCTTCGTCATGAATTTCCTACTACCAGGGATTTGTTTTTCCAGTTCGATGCCCTATTTTCCTCACTAATCAGGTGAAGAACATTTATGATGACTTGCCAAGCTCCCCACTTTTGTTTTTACCAATATTGCATTTTGTTCTACTTTAGAATCCTTGATATCTCAGGGATTGGTAGAGATCAACAGGAGATCTAAGCATTTAATTGGGGCTTAAGTATATCCAGTGAACCACACTATTCCCTACTTCATATCTTCTCTACTTCTATACTTCTATGCCATATTCATCTTTAAACCAGAAAGAAGGTAGTTTCTAATCCTTCCAAGCTAAGGCTTGATGAACGGGTCTAGCAAACTCGATATCACCCTTGAAGAAATTTAGAGTGTTGTCTTTTAAAGAAGGGTAGATGGGGGTTCAGAGCATTGGAATCAGTTTGGACCTATCACAACAATAAGGTGAATAAATTGTATATAGAGGTAGGGATGGTAATGGGGTGGGTTTATGGAGGGTTTTATGAATTCTGGGATCTAACTAACTCTTTAAATCTCTTAATGTTAGTGTATGCCCTTAACTCCAATCAGATTGAAATGCATAAATAATTATAAGAAAGCAAATAAAGTACATCATTGTTTCATATTCTTACCATTATGTTTGTTGTGAATTACTCTTTAAACTGAACACTTTTAGTTTAGCATGTTTTTAGCCATTTGATAGACTTTGGGAGCTTATCCTACCATCCCCAAGTCTGACGCTGGTGTGCTGCCAAATTGGTGGAGCAGTTTGCCTCAACTACTAAGATTAGACCTTAAACACAACTAGTGGGTGTTTAGAAGAAACACTGAATGTAGACCAATTTCTAGTTACACCCTGGACCTTGGAGATAGATGGACAAAAATTGGAAAGTTGCACTTAACTTCTAACTTAATTATGATATTGCACTAAGTATTGGACTGAGCTATCTTTGATGTGCCAACTAGTAAGATCTATCAAGAGTCAAATACTTGGACATGTTGGGGTAGTTTAGTAAATTACCTAAATGGGTGATCATAGTGATATTATCGACCCCTTTGTCAGACAAAGTGAATATCAAGCTTTACGCTCTCTGTGATGAAAACCTAAACTGTCGCCATTGGATTTCAACTATATTTGAAATATGATTTGCAAAATGTATCTATATGTTATATTATTATTTTATAAAAAAAGGTTTGTATAAGGTTTTAATCCCGGGATCCATCCAAACAAAGAGTGTGACACAACATTTTGTAGTTATGGAAGAGGTCATTCCCTGTGGGCAGTGTTCTAATGATTATGTGCCAAGAGGTTAGGTGTAAGAGATTATTACAGGATTGATTACCTAGTGAACTTTATCTTACATAAAGTCCATTATCCTTGGGTCTTCATAGGGTGGCTAAATTTAATGATCATTTAAGTGTAAATGTTAGGGCCCAAACTAAGTCTAAGTTGATTGGGTCAGGGGTTCATTGCCCTGAGCAATGAATTCAACCTAACCTGTTCCAAAGGTAGGGCCAAACTTTTATGGACTTGTGTGAGACATTTGTGGGTTCCACACTATACAATGTTCAGGCCCAAAGTGGACATGCAACATCTTGGGACATAAACCACTAGAAAAATGGGCCTAAGGCCCATTATTAATATAATTAGTTAAGTGATCATATGACAACTTACTTGGGTTGAAAATGGGCATGGATTTAGGTATGAAGCACCTATCCTCTTAAAAAGATAATGCTTATCAATTAAAGATAAACTCCTGATCCAAATTGATTTGTATTAATACCTAATTAGATTGGGAGAGTGCTTTATATAAAGGAAAAAGAGGGGAGAGTCCAATTCAACAAATTCTCTCCACTCTCTTGTTCTCTTCTCTTCTCCCATGCCTCCCAGAAACCCTAATTCGACCTAGCTTTGATAGGTGCTGATTTTTATCAATCCTCTATTGTGTTTTTGCAAAAAAAAAAAAAAATCAGAGCATATCAGGTTCACATACTCACTTCAATCCAAACAAGTTAAAGACTGTTTTTTGTTGAAATGGTGTTGCTAAATCGGCTTACATACACATTGTGCCATCTTTAGTTGGAGGCTGATTTTGGGATTGATATTGTGCGTGAACTACCACTCTGTGAGTTGCATTTTTGTAGTCTCCATATTAGGTCAGTTTTAATTTGGGTTTCAAATCTAGTTTGTTTTAGTGCAAGATCGATCCCGAAATTTTAGATTCAAAATCACCGAAAAATTGGTTCCCATGTTAGATTATAAAATTTTTGAAATTTTGGCCAACCACCAAGCTTGATTCAGCCATGTCAAATCTAATTTCTAACCCTTCCAACACTTAACTCATAGCTAACTCATACCTTTCCCAATATCAATAATGAGTTGGATTTTTAGAGCAAAATCCACCTTGACCCTATCCCCCTACATTTGGGAGTGAGGCAGGTTGGATCTAAAACCCGCATCTAATTTCTTATTACATATAAGTAATAAACAAGTAACATAACATGAACAAATATCAGAATTTCCAATTATTTGATTAAAACATGTATAAAACACATAAACTATCAATTGTTCTTCATAAAAATCCAAATTATTGTTAAAATCAACAACCAATACATAAGTTTATATGCTTTCAAATACTATGTGGGTCAGGGAGAGTCAAATTTAGTCTAATACCACACCGTACTGATACTCATACATGTTGTAAAATCCAAACACTTGTCCCAGTTGCCTCAAAATCCTTTTCTTACACAAACACACACAAGGCATGAAAAGGGGAGTTTATATACCGCCTGGTTCGAATGTCACTTTGTAATTAATTCATTCTTTCTTTCCAAATCAATAAAGTTCAAAGGAAAAAAGGGATCCTCTGGCTCAAGTCTATTTTCCTAGTGCAAGGAGAAGGAAAAAAACAACTTGCAATTAAGGTGACTATTAGGGCTGGCAATCTGGACTCCAGTCCATTTGAACAACCCAACCCACCCACATTGGAATCCACCCATATCCACCCATTCTATTGGCGGGTCAATATGGGTTGAATAACCCATTAGGGTCAGTGGAAAATGGTCAAAGTGGGTTGGGTTGAGGGTACCCATTAGGGTCAAGATGGGTTGGGTCAAAGTTAAGCTTTATCTATATGTGCCAAATCTCAAAAAAACAGTAATTAACGCGACTAGAACTCAATACTCTTAGTGAGTCTACGTCTCATTACAAATCAAAACCACCATGCCACATTTCATTTTGTGATTAAAAGTGAAACAAAATAGATTTTATTAACTTTTGTGTTCACATGCAATTTTACACGTAAGCACTTTTACAAAAGCAATTTTATAAAATAATTTTATGAAAACTACTTTACAAAAGCACTTTATGAAAGTACTTTTATGAAAACACTTTTATGAAAGCATGAAAAAACTTTTATAAAAGTACTTTTACACAAAAGCACTTTTACAAAAGTACTTTTACACAAAAGCACTTTTATAAAAGTACTTTTATGAAAGTATTTTTATGAAAGTGCTTTTATGAAAGTATTTTTATGAAAGCACTTTTGTAAACGTTATGCATTTTTTGCAAATTTTCTGCTATTTTCTACATTTTTTGAAAATTTCTAGTATTTTCTAAAATTTTTGAAAATTTTTGGTATTTTTCTGCATTTTCTACAATTTTTGGTACTTTTTTTGCATAGTTTCTGCATTTTTCTGATGTTTTCATGCATTTCATGCAATTTGCTGATATTTTTTTGCATTTCTTATGATTTTCCTACAAATGTTCTTCATTTTTTGTAAATTTCTGGTATTTTTTCTGTATTTTTCTGAAATTTCTACAAACTTTTTGTATTTTTTTTTGCATTTTCTACAAATTTTCTACTATTGTTTGCATTTATCTACATTTTTTTGCATTTTCGGGTATACGGGTTGACTTGACCTGTTTTTGTTACATGGTAGTCTTGAGAGAGATGATTCTCTCGAAAATGTTTTTTTTTTTTTTTCCGGATATACGGGTTAACCCAACCCGTTTTTGTCACTTGGCAGCCTTAAGAGAGATGATTTTCTCAAAAAATATTTTTTTTTAGTATACGTGTCAAGC